AATGAAGTATTTTCCTGGTGGTGAAATGACAGGCAGTCAGGTTGTGTATCCACAGCAGTGACCAGAGGAGGAATGACTGCTGGGAGGAGTGCAGAGAGAAGAAACGCCATGGTGCATCTGCAGCAGCACAATCGGACACCTTCATCTGCCCCAGCTGCAACAAAACATGCCTCTCCTGTATCGGTCTCTACAGCCACAGCAGGTGCTACAACCTTCCAACAGTTTACCTTTACCCCCATAGGCACATCCAACAACAAACTTTCCTAGGGAGAGCATTCCACAACCAGGGTGCCACCACTGAGAAGGTCACCTTCTTCCCATGGTGGAGGACTGAGTATGCTCACTTCTTCCTCTGTACACGTAGCATATGGGGTATGGGCACTCAGATATCATACTAAAGAGGTGACATTCCGGACTATATCTGTATTGTGGTTGTGGATGGAGATTATGAGTGCATTTATTGTTAAATCGTGTCAGGGTGTTTTAGGGGAAATGACTCATAAATAAATAGTGTGCGTGTTTTTTAAAGGAATGCACACACCTCTACCTCCAGCATGAAATGTTTCCAGAGGGGTAGCCCCACAAGTCTCTTGCAGCAAAAACAACAAAGGTGGTGTATTTGATCCAGCTGTGCACTTTTTATGTTCTATTGTGCGCCTGGTGAGATGTTAAACCAAGGTGACATCCACACCAGACATTTAAAGAACATAACTTCCCTCTCAAAGAATTTCAGGAACTGTTGTTTATTAAGGCCACTGGATATTGTAGCTTTGCAAGGGATAAACTACAGTTCCCAAAATTATTGGGGGTGAGCCATGCGCTTTAAGTGTCTGGTATGTAACTAGCCAAACAATCTTGTCTCACCTTCAAAGCTAGCACTATGTTTATAGCATAAGCCTCCACTAACTACACCCCTCTTCCTGCAAGGCAGCGGGTAGGGTCCTCCTTTGTCAGGCAGATGGGCAGAAATTGTGTGGCAGGCAGAAATTCAACTGATTAAGCCTTTTCTGGTATGGAAATACAGTGATGGAAAACTCTTCTCCTGTTGATATTTTGTCTGTCAGACATCTTATGACACATGTGTAGTCCCCAATCTATTTTGGGATCTTACATCCCACCTGTAAAAAAAGAACACAAATGCACACATGACCTGAAGTGTATACAAATTTAATGCAAATTTATACCCTCTTTTGCAACTGAGGCAGAGAAACTAATCCATATGCTAGGTCCAGAAAATCCTGCTGAACCCCCCCCCCGCTCCTCTCATTTTGGAGAGGGGGGGACCTTGACTTTTACCCCAAAATCCTGCCCTAGCAACACTGCTGATCCTGGTCCATGATAACTTTCTGCTAAAATTACTCTCTTCTGCCTGGTTTTTTTTTTGGGGGGGGAGGTATGACAGCTGTTTCTCCAAAATAAAGGTTATGCACTCATGTTTAAACAGGTTTGCCCCTCATTTATACCACTTGTGGACAATATTCATCCTGTTACAGCAAGAAAGGCCAAAGAACTATCAAATTCTAGGCAACAAAATATTACCATTAATAATCTGTGTAAGCCGACTCTGTGAAAATGCCTTATTAATGTGAAAAGCAGTCGTTAGCAATTACTACTATTAACATACCAATGAGCCTGGAGACTTGCTTTCTCTAGTAAGGGACATAGTACTAGATGGTGGGCATGGCCCAACAAGTTCTGCTGAATCAAGGAACAGAGTACTTTAGCCTTCTCCCCCAACCTGGTACTGTACAGATGTTGAACTACAACTCCCATCAACCCTGATCATTGGTCATGCTACTGGGGCTGATGGGAATTGGAGTCCAAAACATCTGAATGGTGTCAAGCAGAAGAAAGGTGGTCTAGTCCAACCTTTGTCAACCTGGCACCCTCCAGATGTTTGGGAGAACAGCTCCCATCATGCTGGCTGTGGTTGATCCGAGCTGTAATTGTAATGATGATGATGATGATGATGATGATGATGATGGAGCAGTTGAATCTCACTTTTCAGCCAAAAAGGTGACCAGAGTGGCTTAAGGGTAAAGGTAAAGGGGACCCCTGACCATTAGGTCCAGTCGTGACCGACTCTGGGGTTGCAGCGCTCATCTCGCTTTATTGGCCAAGGGAGCCAGCATACAGCTTCATGTGGCCAGCATGAATAAGCCGCTTCTGGCGAACCAGAGCAGCGCAAGGAAACGCTGTTTACCTTCCCTCTGGAGCGGTACCTATTTATCTACTTGCACTTTGACGTGCTTTCGAACTGCTAGGTTGGCAGGAGCGGGGATTCGAACCACCCACCTTCTGATCGGCAAGTCCTAGGCTCTGTGGTTTAACCCACAGCGCCACCCGTGTCCCCCAGACTGGCATACATACCACCAATTAAAGCAAGACAGTTCCTGCCCACAGGCTTACAAGCTAAAACAAATGACACACATGGGGAAAGGGGCAGGAAGGAAAGAGTGGGACAGAATAAGAACTCAAACACCAATTGAGAGTTCAGAGTGCCTGATGGAGCTGGTCTGTCACAGCAGAACTGCTGGAGTGAGCCCTGCTTCCCACCTCTCCCACTAAGGGAGAGATGTGGTGGCATTTTCTATGGAATGTTTCTGTAATCCAAAGCATCCTGAGGGCACCAGATAGGCAATGAGTGGTCTAATGCAACACCCTTGCAACAGTGACCAGACAGGTATCTCTGAGAAGCTTAAACCTTCCCAGTTGTGTGTCTCAAAAACATCTGTGATTGGCATAGGCTGCCTCTGAACCTGGAGGTCAGACACTTTCCCCGCTTGATATGCAGCATCACCACCTACCCACAGACACCTGAACATCTGGCTGAACATCTGGTGGTAGTGTGATGGCTTACACACACACAGAGAGAGAGAGAAGTGAATAGGAAAGGTGGCCAGCCGGTGTCCCGAGTGTGCGGACTACCTCTGAATGCACAAGGATTGTGAGAACAGCCAACTCGCTGGAGACGGAGGGAGAACCATGAGCCGTTGTGAACCAGCTGCCAATCCGTTTCGGCAAGGGTCCATTTCTGAAAACGGACGAGACGCTCGCGGATCTCCCTGCTAAGACGGGAAAGCATTACAAAGCAGGCAATTTCTGGACACGGAAGCGTGACTCGCTGGCTCTAGGGCGTCAGCGCGATGGGCTCGATCGCCACTGAGGGCAAGAGAGATTCACGCTGTGATGAAAGCATTGCTCATGACAGATACTCTTATCTATACAGAAGGAGGCTGGCATCTGTGGCAGAGCTGTGTGTAGGTGGGGAAGAGGAAAGGCACCCCCCCTCCCCACACTCAGGCAGGAATCAGTTCCCCTCGCACACGTACGGACTGGCTGCCTTGCCTGCCCGCGCCCTATTTTTCCCCACCATCGATGCCCGCAGGCGACGGGTCTTCTGTCGGTCAGCTCGCCAGCACAACACGCCCATTCCCTGCCTGCGCGCAGATCGAGTGAGCGCCCATCAGATAGTGTCGCCTCGTTGCCAGCGGTGCCGATCGCAGCCCCGTCCCTTCCCGTGGCCCAAGAGCACGATGTCTTTGCGAACTTCGACCTTTAAGAGCAAAAAAGGTGTAGGGGGAGATGTTGACTGTGGGTATTGTGGATTATGATTGTGATGACTATTAGCAATCTGCACGGGGATGTGGGGTTAGGGGAGACAGGTGGGTAGGTGGGTGGTGGCTGCAGTCGCTCTAGAGCGATCGGTCCCATTCAGTCCCAAGACACGGAGCCAGGCTAGTTTTTGTGCACGCGGAGCCCCTGCAAAACCTGCCTTCCCTAAGAAAAGGTGTGCATGGAGCGCATCCCTCTGTGGATCCCCTCCTCAGGTACCTCTCAGCTGCAGCCCGACCGGAGGAAGAAGCAGGCGGCGCCCACCTTGGGTCGGGGTGCGGGGAGGCGTTCAATCCTCAGGCAGGGCTTGCCTGGAAAGTGGGGGGATGCCGGTGGTCGCCATGACTGCTGCTGCTGCAGCAGACGCCGCCGCCGCCGCCTTCAACTGAGTCGGGAGGCGCGGCTGGAGAGGAGCTGTCCATTCAGCACCACGGCGCCGCGGCTTCGCTCTTGGTAGTAGCTCAACTCTCGGGCGTTGTAGGCGCTCCAGGATGTGAGCAACGCCCGCTGACACCTTCTCCGGGAAAGGGGCTGTCTGCCTACTTCCATCACACAAAAGGTTAGGCGGCGGATCGGTTCCTGGAGCCAAGACATCTTCAGCCTGGATGAAGGACCCCGCCCCAGCGATGCTCGAGAGGTGCTGGGGGAAGTTTCACGCTCCCAAACGGGGTCGCAGCAGCAACAGCAGCTCTTGAGGTAAACGGGGGTATGAGTAAACGGCGGGGGTTCCTATTTTAGTCCAACATGGGGAGTTGGCCGTCGGAAACCACTGTCTCTCCTCGCCCTTTGTTATGATGGAGAGCGAGAGAGACCCACACGCTTACTGAGAGGTACCTGGGAGGTAGAGAGAAGGCAGCAAGAGAGGCTTGCCTTCACTCCACTCGCCAGCGCTACAGACTTTGGGGGAAGACGCCTGCTAGTCTGTCACCTGGAGCTGTTTTGGCTGCCCATCCAACCATTAAAATCCATGCCCTATTTCCAGCAGCTCCACTCTTGCTAAAGGAAGGGCTGTGGCAGTCAAGGGCTATGTATGGTATTGTGCCAGTTACAGCACTGCCAGAGGATGTGCACGGAAAGAAAAAGAGGGGAAAGGGCCAAGGAAGCACAGGGTGTCCATTTGTGGATTTAGCACACACTAAGCAATCCCCTCATCTGTAGTGGAGAACAAAAGCTACACCTTAAAGAACAGAGCCTCTTTGTGGTAATCTGTTAATATGTGTGGGGTGCTTTGGGTGTAAGACTATTTTTTGACCCAAATTAAACACAAAAGAGTGGGGGTAGGAAGAATTAAGAATCCCCTCACTACTGGATAACACTGAATGCCTCCTTTAATTATTCCATAGGTCTTCTCTCCCTGCCCCATATAGATTTGGAAGACACTCACTATGACAGGGCTGAGTCTGAGGGATTTATCAGAGGCTGATTTTGAAGACAGTGAAATTAGCATCAATGTCGGAGGCTTTAAGAAAAAGATGAGATCCAACACACTGTTGAGATTCCCTGAAACGAGGCTGGGTAAACTGCTGAGCTGCAATTCAAAGGAGTCGATTCTAGAGCTTTGTGATGATTACGACGACACTAAGAACGAGTTCTACTTTGACAGGAACCCTGAACTTTTCCCTTATGTGTTGCATTTTTATAACACTGGAAAGCTGCATGTGATGGGTGAGCTCTGCGTGTTTTCCTTCAGTCAGGAAATCGAATATTGGGGAATCAATGAATTCTTTATTGATTCTTGCTGCAGTTACAGCTACCATGGGAGGAAAATGGAACCAGACCAAGAAAAATGGGAAGATCACAGTGATCAGGAAAGTACCACCTCTTCCTTTGATGAGATCTTGGCCTTCTACAATGATGCTGCTAAGTTTGACAAGCAACCCTTTGGGAAAGTCAGGCGGCAGCTGTGGTTAGCTTTAGACAACCCTGGCTACTCTGTCTTGAGCCGAATATTCAGTGTCCTCTCCATTGTGGTTGTTCTTGGATCCATAGTAACCATGTGCCTCAACAGCCTCTCAGACTTTCAGATTGTTAATAGCAATGGGAACTCTGAGGAAGACCCTCGATTTGAAATTGTGGAACATTTCGGTATTGCGTGGTTCACTTTTGAGCTGGTGGCAAGGTTTGCCGTGGCCCCAGACTTCTTGAAGTTTTTTAAGCATGCACTCAATCTAATTGACCTAATGTCCATCCTTCCATTTTACATCACTTTAATTGTTAACTTGGTGGTGGAAAGTAGCCCTGCTTTAGCTAATTTGGGTAGAGTAGCCCAAGTGCTGAGACTGATGAGGATATTCCGTATCTTAAAACTTGCACGGCACTCAACAGGCCTTAGATCTCTTGGAGCCACCCTCAAGTATAGTTACAAGGAGGTAGGGCTTCTCCTGCTATACCTGTCTGTTGGAATCTCTATATTCTCTGTAGTGGCTTACACAATTGAAAAAGAGGAAAACAGGGCCCTGGAGACCATCCCTGCTTGCTGGTGGTGGGCTACAGTTAGCATGACCACAGTTGGTTATGGAGATGTTGTCCCAGTGACCACGGCAGGCAGGCTGACAGCTTCTGCATGCATCCTTGCTGGCATCTTGGTAGTGGTCCTCCCTATCACACTCATTTTCAACAAGTTCTCCCACTTTTACAGGCGCCAAAAGCAGCTAGAAAGTGCCATGAGGAGCTGTGATTTTGGGGATGGGATGAAAGTTGTCCCTTCAGTCAACTTAAGGGACTACTATGCCTACAAAGTTAAATCTCTTATGGCCAGTCTCACAAACATGAGCAGGAGCACCCCAAGTGAACTAAGTCTGAATGATTCACTGCATTAGTCTCTGGTTCTAAGACCAGTTTGCATGATGGAAAACCAAGAGCTGTATTTATGTGTGTTGTTTTTCCTCACCCCAGCATCTAATATCATCAATTAAGCACCATGGGCAGGTCCACATAACCATTCTTCCTCCACCACCATCCTTTTTTTGGCAGTAATCTTTCAGTAGCAATTCATATGCACTTGAGTCTTGTGAATGGTTCATCGTACATTCGGATTTTGAAGTTTGTTCAGCTTGTGCTAGCTTGCAATTGGAAGTGTGTTGAATCCATCACAAAGCCATGGTGCACATAAATACCAGCACATGCAAAGGGCCACCTAATGGGAAAAATGGTTGTGGGAATACACTTACTTTGGCAATTGTGAAGAATATAAAGTTTACTTACAGAACGATACGTGGTGCATTTTCATCTAGCTACATAGAAACAGCCTCCTGGTTTTTTCTATGCAGCTGTATTTGTCTCCATGACATTTAGTGCTGGTGATGTTGAGCTTCTTTGTCACATGCATATTTTGCTTTGGAAGTCCTTGTGAGAGAACCGAAAAGAATATTTCCAGGAAGACTACAGAAACAAATCACCTGCAAAGCTGGAAATGTGGCTATCCCAGTTCCATGCACGCTTGTGATACAGTAAAAAGGCCACACAGTTAAATCACTCCTTTGTTTAAGGCCATTATAAAGCAGCTATAACACCCAGATTGCATTTCCAAAACCACTTGCCGCTATCATACTTTACTAGTTAATTGAGAATTCACTTGGGGAATCACTGCCCGTTTATGAGAAGTAAAGCTGTTGTAACCATAATTGTGCAGCTTCAATTGAGTTTGATTATTCTGAAGAAATGGGAAGCAATTGTCGGCAACCCCTACCCTAAAGTGTGATAGAATATTGGGAGAGAGTGACAGAATGTTGGGGATTGATCAATAAATAGACAGACAGAATGATTTCCAAGACCATCCAGTAAGTGCATATTTTTATTTCTTCTGGGTGTCATTGATAAGACTCTCATTCACAGGAACTGATCTGTGATGACAGATTTCAAAAAGTTATCTCCCATCAGCTCCTGCTCCTGAAACATGCATTAGGCCACCCTCTCAAAAAGAGCCTTAAAAAGAAAGAAAGAAAATACCCACTTTTGTGCTGAAGGAAATATTTAAGGCCTAATCTCCCTAGACATCAGAAACTGATACCAACTCTTAACTTCAGTATAATCTTTCATGCTCAGAATTTACATCTCTCTCTCTCTCTCTCTCTCTCTCTCACACACACACACACACACACACACACACAGAATGTCTGAGCTAAGGGATCAACATTAGAAGATATTCTTACAGCTGACTAGTAAAAAGAAATACACCAAATCCAGTGGTAAAGGCAGCAATGTAATATGCAAGCTGACAACTTGAATGGCTTTAAAATAGATTAGACAAATTCATGGAGGATAATGTTATCAGTGGCTACTAGCTATACTCCGCCTCCACAGAGTATTGTGGACACAATCCTCTGCTTTCACAGTGGGAGGCATATACTTCTGAATACCAGTTCCTAGAAACCACAGAAGCAGAGAGTGCTCTTGAACTTAGGTCCTGCTTGCTGGTTTCCCACAGGTGTTTGGTGGTCAACCATTGTGAGAGCAGGATGCTGGACTAGATGGGTAATTGGCCTGATTCAGCAGGCTTTTCTTATGCTCTTTGTTTCTGAGAGGGAGCCACAGGTTCCAATGAGAAGGATGGAGAGGACACATTATATTTTAACATTTGAATGGGAGGCCATTTCCTAAGGGGACCTAAATTCACGTTCAGGAGGCTTACTATGAAACAAATAAACCATACCCATAAAGAGAGCACAGTTCTATACATCTCTACTCAAATGTGACACCCACTGAGTTCAATGGGGCTTGTTTCCAGGTAAGTGGTTATAGGACTGTAGCCTCAAACAATTATCTCAAGCAAGGGTTCCCAAACTGTTGTCTATGGACCACCACTGGTCCACAAAGTTCATTCAGGTGATCCACAGTAAAAAGACAATAAAAAATCATGCAGCATCTAACACAGAACATTACAATTGCCACAACTGGCAGAAAAACAATTGACTGGTCGTCCAAGACCCTCAGCATTTTACAAGTGGACTGGGGGCAGGGGGGAATTTGTGAAACCACTGATCTAAAAATTCTGGCTGAAGGAATCTAACTGATCTCTTAGGGGAGGCGGTTCCACACTACAGTTTCATAATATATATGTTGGCCAGTCCTACCATTAGACAAAGTGAGTCATGCTCCCAGCCATTTTCCTCTGCTAGAGGAAATGGCATATGCTCCATGATTTGTCTTGCCACTGCCACCATCCTCTTAGAGGATATGGAGGATGCTATAAGCTTACCAATGATGAAACAAGATTCGAGTCGAGTCAGCTTTTGTACAAGGAAAGGAGAGAGGAAACCATATTGTCCTTTGCCTCAGGCAGCGAAATATTTTGGGCCAGCCCTGCACATACACAAGGCTAAAGAGATGTTGGCACTACGCTTTGAGTCCATGCTTTCACCAACCCAGAAGTTCATTTCCAAGTTGAAAAATGCTGTGGCCTTCTCAGCTGGTGGCCCTCTCTCAGCTTGCGACAGCGTTCAAACCATATTAGATGAGCATTCAACTAGATTGAAAGTTGTTTGCATTGTATGGGAGTCTGGGTGGTCTCAGAGAATGTTTAATGCTAAATAGTCCAGCACCATACATTGCGTGGAAATAAGTCTCACTGATTTCAGCAAGACTTATTTCTACATCATGGGCACATCCCCAATCTGGGGAATAAATTCTTCTGCACACGCACACACTTCCAAAACATCCCCCAACTCTGAAGTGACTCTTACCAACATGTGTAATTCTGGGTGCTTATCAGGATCCTTGCAGAGCTTTGGATCATGGTGCAAGATTAGGCAGCTTTCATATTTAAGAACTTGTGTGAAAAGGACTCAGCCACTACTCCTGATTACTCCTATTTCTGAGCAGGTGCAGTTTACCAAATGGTTTACATGAACATTATGGTAAGGCTACTACTTGTTAAATGATTGTGGGTATTCACGCAAATAAATGGTCCTACTTGTGATTTATTGGATTTAGTGTTTTGACAGGTAGCACATAGAGAGCTACCTTGGACCATGTCAAACCACATGCCCTTCCAGCTCGGTTATTTGTCTACTCTGACTGGCAGTGGTTCTCCAGGGTCTCAGGGAAAGGTATTTCCATCAGGTGCCACCTGATTCTCTTAAAAATGGGAATGCCAGAGATTGAACCTGGGATTCTCTGCATGCCAATTGTGTGCTCTACCCACTAGGGTAGGATCTCTCCTTATTTATGCCTCTGTATTAAAAGTCAATATGTTCATCAAACTAGAAAGACTTGCATTATTTACAAATTAAATCTTTCTCGAGCCATGTCCTCAGAAGAAAAATGTGAGTGAGAGATCGGGGTGAAATAATTGAGGGCGTCGGGAATTATCCTGAGGCAGCTGGAGGTTAAATGAGAAGTTTGTGTTTCTGATTCCCCCCCCCCCCAAGAAATCCTAATCGCATTTTACCACTGAAGGGTTGAATTGAAAGTGTATATAAATAATACAGCAGGTAGAGTTTTAGTACAGAATATATGGGTTATATACTGACCAAGCCAACCCAGTATATAACCCATATATACTGGGAAAGTTTGGTCAGTAGAGTATGAGACTCTATAATAATAATAATAATTATTATTATTATTATTATTATTATTATTATTATTATTATTTATTTATACCCCAGCTCCCAACAAAATATTAAAACCATGATAAAACATCAAATATTAAAAACTTCCCTAAACAGGGCTGCCTTCAGATGTCTTCTAAAAGTCAGATAGTTGTTTATCTCAATGACATCTGATGGAAGGCTGTTCCATAGGGTAGGTGCCAGTACCAAGAAGGCCCTCTGCCTGGTTCCCTGTAGCTTCACTTCTCGCAGTGAAGGAACCGCCAGAAGGCCCTCGGAGCTGGACCTCAGTGTCCAGGCTGAACAATGGGGTGGAGATGCTCCTCTTAATCTCAGGGTCATGGGTTTGGGCCCCACATAGGGCAAAAAATTCCTACATTAAAGGGGGTTGGGCTAGATGACCCTCAGGGTCCCTTCCAACTCTATAGTTCTAAGATTCTAAATGATACATACTTGAATTATCTGACCTGGGCCTCATCTAGATGTGTGGAAATTGCCAAAATCCTTGTGGCAAAAATAATGACCACTTACCGGCTTGAACCCAGGAGCGGCAACTGCGATGCGGTTCAGCAGTCAGGAGTCGGGGGTGGTTCCCTGGTCTTCCCGCACAATTGATGGATGATGTCAAATGCAAGCCTCATTCCAAAGGCAGTTAAAAAAATTAAAACCCCTTAGATTTTTCCTCACTGCTGTTTTGGCCAATGGCAAGAATTAATTTCTTTGGTATTAAAACAAAAAACTCCCTGGATTCTTAAACCAACTATCCTTTTAACTTCTAGCCCAAAGGAGTTGCAAGTTCCCTCCAGCTCACAGATTCCTCCAGCTTTAGTCAGGAACACAGGGAAGCTGCCATCTGCTGAGTCAGACCATTGCTCCACCTAGTTCTACATTTTTGGGATGGGTTGGCAGAGGTTTCACGGGCATCTGTAGGAATTTTTATGGGGTGCGGGTGTGACTAAAACACTGAAAGTTTCTCCTTTTTAAAAACCCGAGAAGAATAATGGCTGTACATTTTCCTCGTATCTCAGGTTCTACAGGTGCTAGAAAAGTCCTCTTTTAAATAAATGAAAGCTTGAACTATTGAGATTATGGTTCATCAAGAAGAGGTATGACAACTGCCCCCCCCCCCACTCTTTGCAGACACCCATAAGTGGCTTTCCAGAGTTTCAGGCAGGATTGACCCTTGGGCACACAGGACACATGCCCTGATGCTGAGATATGACTATTCCCCATTAGTCACATTTGGGGCACATAAATTAGTTTCAGATTAT